AAAAATAATGTTTTTTTTTTTTAATTTTTTTTAAATCTTAAATATACATTTATTTTTTACACTTTTAAACGAAATACTAAAATCGCTTTACTGCATTTTCGCCTCAATTAATTTAATATTTACATTAAGCTTGTTTTGCTGCTAAAAACTTTTCTCACGCCCTCAAGTCGCCCACACTTGGTGTTAGCCGCAAGTTTATAAAGAGAAAAATTGGTAAACTGCTTTGCTATTGATTGTATAGTATCGCCATGCACGAAGGCACAAATAGAACTTTTTTGTAAACAACATTTAAATATCGTTAATATCTATGAAGCAGAAGAAATAACAGAAAATTTAGTGAGAAAAAAATAGGCTGTTGTTGATAGTATCAAGCAAATGAATAAATCAATATTTTTAATTACCCATTAACTTCGATTTACTCAATTTAGTTTATTTAATAAAATTATCCAATAACTCTAATAAGAGAAACTTATATATAACGCAGCATTCAAATAAGATTTATGGTTCTTGTACAGACTGTCTATGCGAGTTATGTCCACATAATTTCGTTAAGCTTGTACACAAAGCGCAGAGCGTGGGAATTATGGTTTGTGTATTGGCTACGTATTAGACATTCAGCCACACACTCGTACTCGTCAGCCTCCTTTCGTGAAGTTAGCTCAGAAAGGTTGTTGCACAATCTAAAGTTTTTATCGCCTCAAGTTATATAGGAAACTTAACGAATGTGTGCCTGTATAAGCTAAAAAGTTGTTATGTTAAGATCTCAGCCGACAGATGGCGCTGATTCAAATTGTGTATAGCCTCCGGTAGATGACTACTGTCAAGGCGCATAATTTAAAGTAAGTTAATTCAAAATTTGTTAATAGCTAAAATGAACAATAAATGATAAATGGAAATATTTCGTAATTGATTAATTATTAATTACGGTTTATTTAATTTTATGTAAATCTAATAGAAAAAACTATGAGTAAACACATGCATAAATGAATATCCAGAAATTCGCTTAGTTTACAAAATATAGAAAATGTCAATTCAGCGACTTTGTATGAAACTTGTTCAAACGCAGAGTCCCCTCTGCTGACTGGCTACCATTTGGCTTTAATTACCCGCTCTGGTTCTGGGCACTGACCACTGGCCGCTGGCCTCTTAGTGCAGACAGTAGGCCACGAGCACTGTCAGCAGGGCGGAGAGCGTACTCAATTCGGACATTCGCTTCTCTCCGTTGCGCGCATCATGGAGTCCCGATTCAGCGGATAGACGCGCAGACGTCATGCCGGGCATGCGCATCACATCCGGTTGGCCGCCTGGCGACAGGGGCGCCAGTGGCACCGATCCCTCCGGCACAGTCAGGGGCGTGGTCGACTGGAAGGGCGCAAGCGGCGCCGCATCCGATGCGGGCGTCGAAGCGGGCACAGCAGCGGCAGCAGCAGCCGGTGCAACAGAAGGCACTGCAGCGGGCGCAGCGCCGGCAGCTGTGCCATTCGCTGCAGCTGCAGGTGCTGCTGGCTCTGGTGGTGGTGCCGGATAGCAAGCAATCTTCTCCACTTCAATCGTCTTGGTGGCATCCTTCGGATCAGGCTCGGGCACACGCACAGGCACACAGATGATGCCGCCGGGTGCGGGTGGTGCGGCATTCGGATCCGCTGCAGCAGGAGCTGGAGCAGCAGGAGCAGCAGGAGCAGCCGGAGCAGCTGGAGCAGGGGCTGCAGCATTGGCAACTGCAGCGCCAGCAACTGGCGGCACGACGGCTTCAGCAGCAGGCGGTGTCAGCGGAGCGAGTGGAGTTTGGCCTGGAACAGCTGCAGGAGCAGCTGCTGGAACACCTGCAGGGGGTTGAGGTGCAGCTGCTGGCGCCACGGCGGGCTGTGCGACGCCCGTGTTGATGACCGTAGTGCCGGAGCCAGCATCCGCAGTGGTCACCGAGCCAGGCGGTCCATTGTTAATGATGATGATCTTGTCGTCGCCGCCGCCAGTGCCGCCACCTCCGCCGCTCGGCATGGGCGCATGCTCAACGACGCGCGTCTGCGTGGGCGTGAGGGCGTGGCCCAAAATGGCACCACCCAAAGCGCCAGCAATGAGACCAGTGCCTGCAGACACAAAGAGCGAGAGAAAGAGAGAGAAGATGTTAGGCAAATTCAAGCTGAATCATATAGAGCAGTACTTACCCAAACCAAAACCAGATGACGACTTGGGCGCCTGTGGATAATAGGTGGCGCCAGGCGGCAGTCCAGCTCCAGCTGGCAAGAAGGTAGCACCGGCAGGCACTGCTGCCACCGGCGCCTGGGGATAATAGGTGGCGCCGTGGGGTACTCCTCCGCTGGGATAGTAGCTAGCGCCAGGTGGTATTTGTCCAGCCGGATGATAGCTGGCACCGGCGGGCAGAGCTCCGGGACTGTGATACGTGGCACCAGCAGGCAGAGCTCCGGGACTGTGATGATAGGTGGCACCGGCCGGCAATGAGCTGTGATAGGTAGCTCCGGCGGGCAGCGCTTTAGGACTGTGATAGGTTGCTCCAGCGGGCAGCTGTCCAGACGGATGGTAAGTGGCGCCGGCGGGCAAATGTCCAGGACTGTGATACGTGGCGCCCGGATAACTCGACTGCACGCCGTGCGAATTGGTGGCCGTGATGGGGGTATGGAAGCCACCACCACCGCCACCGCCGGTGGCGTTCATGCGTGGCCTGTAGACGCTGGCGGGCGTGTAGTGAGGATTGCTGCTGCCGGAGCTGCCTGCTGCTGGTCGAGCATTGCTGTTGGCCGCCGAGTAGCTTGGCGGCGGGGCATTGGCCTTGTACGACGGGTTGTACGCCGGCGGCGGCTCATGAATGTTGGTGTGAGCACCGCCAGCCGGATTGTGGGCCGTATAGGAGGGCGGCGGACCCTGCGCCTTGGGCGGCACATTCCAGCCTATGGGCGAGGCCGTCGCGGGTCGTGACATCGAGTGCTGCGTGTGGCTGGGCTGTGCATGGCTGCCAGGGCCGTAGCTGAGCTTAGTGTTATCCGCATGACTGTACGAGCCGGAGTGCGATGAGGAGGACGACGAGGAGGGTCGACGGGCCGAGTAGCTGCTGGAGCTGGAGGAGCGACTCTTGCTGCTGCTGCCWCCGAACCAGCGCTTCGCCTGGGCATCTGGACTGACCAGCAACAGGATCAGCAGACCCAATAGCAGAGTCCAACTGCTAAGTCGCCAGGGATGATTCTGCGACATGCTAAGAGAGAGAGAGAGAGAGAGAGAGAGAGAGAGAGAGAGAGAGAGAGAGAGAGAGCGAGAAAGAGAGAGAGAGAATCACACGTAAGTCTCGCTTGTAAAACAATCTCTATTTGCTGCTTGGCCGCTTGACTTTGACTAAGCTGCTGTCGCCTGCCTGGAAGGCTTAAATAGGGTTCACTGATTATCCACTGATTCTAGTGAACCGAGCAACGAGAGCGAAATGCATATAATAAAAAAAAAAAAAA